TGCGTGTATTTTTTTATACATGCCTATCAAATAAATTTAAATTGTTTACTGAACTGTGTCTCTCCAATTTCCGTTTTCGAGGATGTCAAGACCTTTTGCCGGCCAAAATTCATTATATGCGTACTGCATGTTATAGGTTTATTTATATTTAAAAGTTCTATATACGTTCTATAAAAAGGTCGTATATATCTACCATTTACGCCCCATGTTCACAGTAACATGAAACAAGCTGCCTCAATATTAGAAGGACGTATCTGCCAGATAGGGCCTTATTGTAATGTAAGACTGCAGTTACGACCTTATATGAGCCGCGTCACGACAAAACCAACATAATGCGTTTGCGTTTCTCCACTTGTAACATAGTTGGTAAGCGAACAACATGGATCCTGATCAGACTGCGCGGATGCGCAGGCTGGTCTGGACCCATTCTGGTCGCAAACCCACTATGTTTGTTTTGTCGTGACGCGGCTCATATGATTATGCTTCAGATCCAAAATGCACAAACGACCTTTCAAGTTGATTTCGGTATCGTAACGTATCCGACTTAAACCTGTCGAAGCTTAACCGTAGAAAAGTCTCACGTGAAAATGAAGATTCATAGTCAATTTATCTCCATTATTTATACCAAACGAAGACGGTTTCATATATTGCCCATTTCTTAGTTGGGGGCGTTAAACGTGAATTTCAATCAAACACGCAAATTTCCATACACATCGCGTCTGTTATCGCGAGACTGAGGTGGGGTTTCACTCAAAATCCAATAGAATCATCCTTTTGTCCATCCGTCCATCTATGGAAAAATAGTAGTATTCAACCTATATGGGGGGCGCAGGGTTGTAGGGCGCTAGGAATGGAAGATGATACAAAAATTAAGTGCAAATCAGGATAATAACTTGTAATATGATGATTAGAAATATACATGTATATAAATAAAAAACTTAATAAAGCCGTTTTGAAAAAAAAAATCATATTTAAACGTCTCCTGTATATTTATTATAGAATTTCTTATTATACAGTAGACGTTTAATTCAGCAAAAACATGCAAAATGTCATAAGTTTGGATTAAAACTAAGGCAGAGTTCAAGTCACTAATGAAAAGTAATTTTAGAGTGTAAACTTGGTAAAGAATGTCATTTATGGCCGCAGTTGATATATGCAATATCTCAATAGATTGGATCAAAATTGTCAAGTAACGTATGTAACAGATGGCCACAGCAAAAAAATGCTAAATAGCATTAGATTGGATCGAAACTAAGACACAGTTCAAGTCAGAGTTTCTCACTAATGGAATGTGACTTTATAGTGCTTATTTGGTTAAGTGGGTCATAGATGGCCGCAGTTAGAATATGCACCCTCTCATCAGATTGGATCAAAATTTTAAAATAACGTATGTCACAGATGGCCACGGCAAAAATGTGCTAAATATCATTAGATTGGATCGAAACTAAGACACAGTTCAAGTCAGAGGTTATCACTAATGGAATGTGACTTTAAAATGCTTATTTGGTTAAGTGGGTCATAGATGGCCGCAGTTAGAATATGCACCCTCTCATCAGCTTGGATCAAAATTTTAAAATAACGTATGTCAAAGATGGCCACGGCAAAAACATTATAAATATCATTAGATTGGATCGAAACTAAGACACAGTTCAAGTCAGAGGTTACACTAATGGAATCTGACTTTATAGAGCTTATTTGGTTAAGTGGGTCATAGATGGCCGCAGTTAGAATATGCACCCTCTCATCAGATTGGATCAAAATTTTAAAATAACGTATGTCACAGATGGCCACGGCAAAAACATGCTAAATATCATTAGATTGGATCGAAACTAAGACACAGTTCAAGTCAGAGGTTATCACTAATGGAATGTGACTTTATAGTGCTTATTTGGTTAAGTGGGTCATAGATGGCCGCAGTTAGAATATGCACCCTATCATCAGATTGGATCAAAGTTTTAAAATAACGTAATTCACAGATGGCCACGGCAAAAACATGCTAAATATCATTTGATTCGATCGAAACTAAAACAATTTTAAATTTTGGAGTATAGTGCAAGATAAATATACAGAAAGATGCCCAAAATCTACTTCTACTGGTTCTTTAATGTGCCAAGTGTTAAACAACTCATGCGCAGGAACTCGATTTAAATTCTCAGCCGAAAGACTGTGTTGACCAGTCCGGGAATCGAACCCACGATGTCGAGATTACAAGCCTTGACTGGCGTTCTTTCGACATTTACATATTGCCACAGCTAGGGGCTCGACCTTTCGGCGTACATGGCGTTCCCATTGCGTCCAAGGTGGCCATAATAAATTAATAAAATTAGAGAAACACAGAATCTCAAAAGAAAGTCCAAAATGTCAAAATGCTCGGTTTGATGGACGGTATTGATAACTCAAAGCTACCGTCCACGCCCCTAGCACCAGATTATTTAATATGAACTTGTAAAGGTCGCAAGTCTAGTGTGACGGTGGTTCAAACAAATTTTCACTAAAGTTTTACAAGTAAGCTTGATAAAAGTGAACATTTCTAAAACTAAACACGTAAAAGTTGATGCAACACTTTTTCCCCACTTTCAGGTAAATACCGCAACGGGGCGTACGTGGCCGAGTGGTTAAGGTCGTTGACTTCAAACCACTTGCCCCTCACCGCCGGCGCTGTGGGTTCGAATCCCGACAGAGACATGAAAGGAAGCTATCCAGCTAGCTTACGGAACGTCGGTGGTTCTACTCAGGTACCCGTTCGTGCCTGAAATAATGCACGGAAGGGCACCTGAAGTCTTCCTCCACCAGTAAAGCTGGAACGTCGCCAAATGACCTATACTGTGTCGGTGTGACGTAAAGCCCCCAAAAATAATTAAAAGAAAATACCGCAGCCCGCAGCATTGTTTCGATCTTCGACTGTTTATAATGTTTATAGCTAGTTCCTTAAAAATTGCAATTTTAATTTAATTGGTACATGTATGTGTATCTCGTATAGTCCGAATAAACAATGCAATTAAGATTTAAGGGTTGGCGTTTATTAAATTGACCCTTCGTAGATGAGCTCATAAAAATCGCATTGAAAGTGCATGGATTTTTACGGAAGAGCATTAGTGCCAGGTGTATGTTTTTTATTAACTCGAAATTTCGAGTTACTAACTCGAAATTTCGACTTACTAACTCGAAATTTCGATTACTTATCTCGAAATTTCGACTTACTAACTCGAAATTTCGACTTACTCTCTCGAAATTTCGAGTTACTTATCTCGCATGACATTGCACGACTTTCATTGGTTGCCATGGTTGCCGGTGAAAGCAAGAATTGAATTCAAAATACTTTCTTTCCTGTGTAGCTGTTGCACAATGACAGAGCACCTTCAACATTTATTTAACAGAATAATTTAATTGGGTCAAATTGTCCACACATACTGAACATATCCTTCGCTTTTTTGTGGAGGGGGGGGGGGGGGGCTTTCCACATTTCCGTGTTAACCGGATGTTTCTTTTTCTAAAGCACACATAAAACCACCATGTGGAGAAACATATCAAATCCAAAACCCACCATATTGTAAACTGTGCAATATTCACGTGTTAAATAAGTTTTAAATGGCGTGTATACGCCAGTTAGTCTGTCACGTTTCTTTATACTCTTAATGTTTTTGTAACATTATTTATTATTTACTAAGACTTTGATTCATATTGTTTTGATAAAAATTGATAAAAGCGGAACTTGTTGTTATATATATGTTGGGAATAATATAAAGCATCCGATTTTACAAGAAATATAGTCAGTCCAACAAATTTGACAAAGGCCTCAGCACGCCCTATTTTGGCCACGCCGCGATACTTTCCTCAGCTGTCCCACACGTGAAGTATAGGATCGTTTTATTCACAGGGGTGAGAAGAATATGATTAGTGAAAAGATATGTTCGAACAGGAGGGATACAATACAACGTCTGAAGAACGCCTGAACGTACAAATTAAATGAAGCCTTGTGTTTTTTAGGTCGGGTGTGTACATGCCATTACTAAGTTTAAGTTTAACTTCAATAGTTTGTCCAGGCACCCGTTTCTCCATCTCCATCGTTCAACGGCACTCCCTACTATATCTTATATTATCTGACTAATAACTTAGGCCATTCTAGTACTATTAATAAGTCGAAATTTCGAGTTACTAAGTCGAAATTTCGAGTTACTAAGTCGAAATTTCGAGATAAGTAACTCGAAATTTCGAGTTACTAAGTCGAAATTTCGAGTTTATAAGTCGAAATTTCGAGATAAGTAACTCGAAATTTCGAGTTAGTATGTCGAAATTTCGAGTTAATAAGTCGAAATTTCGAGATAAGTAAGTCGAAAAACATACACCTGGCACTAATGCTCTTCCGTACACCTGGCACAAATGCTCTTCCGTAGATTTTCGTGTGATATTCGTGTTAAGTGTACACATTTTACTCTAGACATAGAACTTATTAAATGCCAGCTCTAGGGTTAAGGATTAAATCGGAGTAACATGATATATTCTTCTTTTATGACACTTCTTATTCTACAATGATTATATTTTGCAGCACAGCTGTTGTACCCGCAACCAGCTGTTCAACTCGTAACTAGTTGACGGGTGTGAGAATGAATGCCGCATAGTCTGAAGGATTTTTTTACTATAGATGTATGATTTAATGTGATAAATAGAAATAATACGATACATTCATTTTTCTATGTAAATTTCGAGGTAAATGAGTTACGTAAATTACTCGGGACAATCGTATCTGGTACATTAGTTTAACCGACAACTGACCTCTTAAATACTTAAATAGGTTATGTTTACAGAGACATCTTAGTCAAGGCTGGCCCGTGGTTTAATTTTAGCATACTTGAAAATGAAAGTGTTTAAAAGATGAAAATATCATCAAATCTTAAATATTTGTTTATCAAAAAGTATTTGCACATGTGTATGGTTGTAAACAACTACATATATATTTTCGGATCACTTTATAGTGACCCAGTAAACATACATGCATACATGATAAAGGTAACTTACAAGAATATCCTACAAGAGATATTGTGTTATCTACGCTCTTTAAACAAGGACACTAGTCAGATTAGTTGACAGTACATGTGTGCAGGAATAGTATAAACATTTTATAGCACGATACAAAGGAATATTAAAACAACAATGTCTGGAATACACGTGGAAAGTGGAGTGACGGACAAGAGTTATCCTGAACTGTTTGACGAACGAGCTATGCCAAAACAGAACAAAGAGAAGAAGCCAGGTCAACAACCAGATCATAAAATATGTGAATATTTTGAAAAGGTTTGTTACGTTTAACATGTCACGTACATGTAGTTAGTACAGAGATGTCACTTTGATGTTGTACAAGTTAGCATGTAAACATTTGTAACTATTGTAAGAAAAATATTTGTAGGAGAATTTAGCTGAACACACTACATGTACTTGAATAAATAAACAAATACTTTGACTTTAATTAAATGGGTAGAACGAAGTAGAGAATGTATAGATCTATTTATATATCGAGTCTACATTATGATTAATTGTAACACGAATGCTAATTCAGCTAAACTGTATACAGTACATGTATCTTCTGACTTCCAAATCAATTATGTACCACGTACAGTCAAGAAATAAAATTCCAGCTTGTTTTCTGTTTTGTATTAAATACCTTTTAGTTCCTTTTTATTTTATCGAATTGTCACTGGGAGAAAAATGTGCAGCTTGGCCGGGACTCGAACCTGGGACCCTCAGAATATCGTTCCGAGGCTCTACCGACTTAGCTATCCGGCCTCTGACACATCTTCTCCCCTAAATAGTGAACAGTTCTGAACCGTGACATAATATTAAATAAACAGATAAACATCCGGTAATATATTAGAGCAATAAGTTTGGTCTGTATTTCAGGGGTATCTCGTTATTCCTGATTTCTTTACTAAGGAAGAGTTGGATGATTGTCGTAAAACTACGGAAGAACTTGTAGACAACCTTGCTAAAAAGTTGTTTGAAGCCGGTAAAATTAAAGGTGAGATGTACATAATTATTCTATTAGGTTGTTTTTGCTAACGTTTTGAACGTTAAGTATTTATATAGATACTAGTATACGAGTGATGTCAAGTTTCATTTGAAAGCTCTGAAATGTTCGTATTTTGTTCTCCAGATTTATATGAGAAATGTGGTTTGTTCAAAAGACTTATCAAGATAGAGGAAGACTTTCCTGGTGCTAATGTTATATTGCACAAAGTTCCTAACATGCCAATGGTAAGTATACTTTTTGATTGTTTAAATAATATGTCACACGTCTTCTTGGTTTATACAGAATTTATTTTAGTTCGATTGTATAGGAAGCTTAATTATAGCTTATAGACACATTCTCGAATCGATTCATTTACTGGAACCAACCAGTACTAAGCAATAAGTGAAACGACGGCTCTCCCATGACGGGATTTGAACCCGCGTGGATAACGAGCCTTAGATTTCTAGTCCGACTAATTATCTAAGGATCTTATATTTGTACATGTAAAAGATAAAACTTTAGTCTTACATGCACTAATCAAGTTTTACATAACAAATGTTTTTGTATAGAAGATGTAGTACTAGTATTTCACTGCTTCATGTTTTTAAGATGTATTTTAGGACGACCATTTAATTAATTGATATAAAAACTATGAAAAGAAAGACCGAATCATAACAAGCATCGGTTAAATAACTCTTTTAAGAAATTTATTTTGATCTAGGTTCTTTTCTTTCAATCGTGAAAATTGTTATACAATATGGTAATGTATTACAGGGATATAGAAAACTTTGGTCAAATGAGCGTCTGTTGAACTTAGTTGAACAAATCATAGGACCTGATATTGCTGGAAATCCTGTATGGAATCTTCGTACGAAAACACCTCAAAACGAGGCAACGACTGTACCATGGCATCAAGGTATACTTGTTACAACTTCTTATCAATTTTCTGTAATGCGAGTAAATCTTTGTTACGTTCCTAGTTTATACAATACTCTTTGTTTACATTTCTGTTTGAAATTGAAAAAAAATGTATCTGACAATATATGAGTTTATTCAAGCATTGTTGTTTCAACATTTACAGATTGTGGATATTTGGACAACAACTCCTACAAGATGATAGTTCCCACTGCATGGATACCATTACTAGATGCTAATGAGGGAAACGGTTGCCTCCAGGTCATTCTATAAATAATCTCAAATAGTATAACTGAAACAGAATGTCTTACCGTCTATACGGTCTAACATATCAGATTTTATTTCTTTATTCTCTTTTCTGTTTCTATTGCAAGCATAAAGTGTCATGATTAGGCAAACAAATGTCGTTACATAAAAATATTGAGTTTATTTTTTGTAAGAAATAATAAAATATGCTTGATTCAATTAAGTTTATCAGTCTCAGTCAAATTGTTGACCATGTAAAGTATTTCAACACAATAGTTTGAATACTGTTTGGTTACAAATCATTCTATATTGATGTTATTGTTTTGCAATACTCATATGTGTGTAATATGATTCATATATTTTCTCATAGTTTGCTGAGAAAGGTCATAGGTCAGGTCATGTAGCGTTACATAAATGTTGCTGGGGAGGCACATGGTATGTAGAACTCGACGAAGAGGAAATGAAATCTAAATTGGGTATATAGTTTACTGTATTTCACTTTAATCTGTTATTATATAGTGTTTTGTATTTTTTACGTTTATCTACATCATTTCGACTACTGCTATATAATTGTCTGTCTACTTACTGATTATTGCACTATACTTAAAAACAAATATGGACACAATAACGTATGCTATAATATTTGCAGATTGAATTAAATTCGCGTATACACAGAAAACTGGTTAACTAAAATTCTGAGTAATGTTAATTTTACAAAAAGGACAGTAAATAAAACATTGAAATGATAAGGTAAATATAATTACAACACAAACAAACATTCCCGATGCTGTTGATGACGACACAGTAACAAGTTAACAAAGAGAAGCCCTACATTTGCTTGACGAAACAAAACGGTATTCTTGTATAATTAGTTAGAAAACATAATTACAGTGTCACCTTACATATAGAAATATCAGATGTTTTAATAAACATTTTATTTTTTCTAAAGGCGTCAATCTGGACAATGATATCAAAACGTGTCCAATTCAATATGGCGGCCTAGTGTTATTTCAAAACCTTACACCACACCGAAGGTATTTACATTTTAGATTTTCTTTCAAAGACATTCATTATGAAATAAATATATTTATAATTGATGAAAATAATGATTGAAATTATTTTGTAATTTACTGACGGAAATAAGTACTGCTTATACCGCTGAAGTAAAGATAAATTTATGTGATAATCATGTGTTTAGAAGTGCATTTAAGTACTCTTCTTTTTAATGCAATCACATTGTTCCTATTATAAGTAATGAAAAATAAATCAACATTTGTCTTCGTTCGCCAATTCTACATTTCGATTCGGAACTATATGTTTCTAGTTCTGATCATTGTAGTTTACCAAACATGTCCAATGACGTGCGCTGGAGTCTTGACCTACGCTGGCAGCGTCCGAGTGATCCAGATGGTCTCTGGGGCTTAAAGAAGCCCGTTTTGATGAGGACAAAAGAAGATCCGAACATGGAAATAGATTGGACGGAATTTGATTCTGTTGACCGGCACTCGAAACAGAAGGAATCAGTTGCCGATGTAATTTTTGATATTTTTCTCGTCCTATATAATTATTATGTTGTGTGTCCTCTGCGCGCAAACTCCTCACAGTGGCTACCTCCCTTGGCAGAATTGTACTCTCTGTACTGATAAGGGGAGATCACTGCGTAAGGTTTCAAGGTTTATTTGAATACGTCAAGGCCCATATGGGCATGTGACAACATAAAACAGTACATACATACAAAATAATACAAAATGGCAAATAATATGTAAAAACAAAATACTACAAAATGGCAAATTATAAATAGTCATACAACTCTATGATGTAATAAAATTACAGTAATAATTGATTGATAATGGAGGATGAGAGAGAAAAATAAAAAATCATTGCGAGAAAAAAAAACAAAGAGAAAAGACATAAATCTAATAAGCTAACATTATTTAAATAATAACATAATATTTTTGCAAAATATGGCAAGTTTCAAAAGGATATCTGTATTACTATGGTTCATTAATTTTTCAAATTTTAAAGCACTTGGATGTTCATAGAAATATTTATCAAGATACAGCTTTCTTGTATTAACTAAATGTGAACATTCAAAAAGATAATGGAATTCGTCGCCTAAAGAGTTACTGGTACATAGATTACAAGTTCTAAGTTCTCTTGGAATATCATCAAACCTTCCTTTTTCAATAGGAAGTTTGTGATTCATACTTCTAAATTTAAAGAGAATTAAAGCTAAATTCATAGGTAACTTGCTGAGGTATGGCTCAAAACAAAAATCCTGTTTATAAATCCTGTAATTTAGACATTTACTGGAATTATTAATTGTACTTCTCCAATTTTGCATAAAATGATCACGCAAGTCTTAAGTTGACAGTATTCTTGAATGAAGCAGGAGATTCCACATTTTGATTTATCCAGAAATGCGACAATCCAAGATCATTTAAATTATTTCGAACAAAACAGACCCAATCTGATTTAATATTATTCAGAGTATATAAATTATGAGTTGTTCTATATAGAATGCTGATTATCTTATCATGTTTAGAATTAACTATTTTACCCCAGTAATTAAGAACTCTACTTTTAATTTGTGTTGAAAGTGGGGTAATACCCAACTCCCCATAAATCATAACATTTGGAGTACTCTGTTTCAACTGTAGAATTATCTTTAGGTATTTTAATTGAAATTTATCCACATTAAAATTATCTACGTCATTTTCATTTCTTAAAATATCTGCATTCAAATTACTGAAATGCTCATGGAAAACCTCATTAGTTATTTTATTTATTATCACTTTTTTATCAGAAGAATATTTATTTAATAAACTCCAATAAGATTTAGGATCACTATGCTTTAGTCCTCTCAGTTTTTTTTTGACATTGTCATTGAAACTGTTAAACTTTTTATTTAATTCTTTTTTATATCTTTTACTGTTTATCATCATAAGGTTTTTATTACCTTCGGTTTTATTTTGGTAAGAGATTGCTCTGCGCGATGTATGTTTGTTGTGCGGCTTCTGCGCAATGTACGTAAATGTGTGTTGTACGAGCGTACAAGGAACAAAAAGAACGTCAAACTGGCTTTGACTTATCGCCTGGTACAGAACAGCCTATTATAGTAATTATAGTATTAGGACTTTATGAATAACATTAAAACCCAACACATGTATATATTTTAATATTGCACTCGATCTAAATGACACAAGCTTAAACGGCTCAATATTTCATATCTATACATGTAACATTTGTACTTTTATTTAGAACTAAAAAAGGATGTGTACATGAACTTTAAGTGTAATATTTTTGTATATTTTAGAATCCAGCACCAGCAGAAGATCCCGAGTTTGACACGACATTACCCGGTCCTTGGATGAAGAAATGGGAAATTGTTCACATGAATAAACACACTGAACGACATAGAAAAGATGAGGAAAGAACAAGTGCCTAAATGATACTGTTATATGATCTCTCTGATTTAATTAACATTGTATTAAATTACTGACAAACTATTTTCATATTGTATTCATGGTTTAAAGAAATGTGTTAAGTTTGACAAATGGCATATGTAAGGCTTGATGTATATTGTAGCAATCCGTATTTCAACCAAGAAAATGACATGTTCGTGAAGTTAGCCAGACAGCCGGAGCAGCCGGAACAAATTTTCGTTTAGTCCGGCTGTTCCAGCTGCTCCGGCTAGCCTGAATCCGGTTCCGGCTGAACAGCCAGAAATGATATAGTAAAACCTGTGCAAGAGACCATTGATTTATTCCATGATGTAGTTTCAAATTACTTATCACCTCGATATCTGACTCTTCAGACTAGACCTACCTATTGAAATTAAAACAAGAAAAACTAATTGTTTTCTTTAATTTTCTTCTTCAAGATTTGTTAAAACTTTTTCTTTAAAAAAAAAGAAGGAAAAATGTCAAACGTTAACCCCCTCCCCCTCCAGTCGGTGGTTCTTGCTTTAAAAATGCTTTATTGTACAAATAACAATCTGTCGCTAAAACACTTCAATAAGCTTAACTATGACAGAGTAACTTTTAAGAGATTTTGTTCATTGACTTGATGATAATTTCAAACATATGTATACTTTATATCTGCAGGGATTCTGAAATGCAGTGTCACTATTTTTGATGTTAAAGTTTATAATTTAATTTTATTTGTTAAGAATGTCACTTATGCCTATTAGCGCCATAAAAATCAATCTCAATGTTTATAGTTATGCTCATTTCTTGTGTAGGGTATGCGCATTCTTAAATTACTCGGGGGTAGTTTGCCGTTTTTCACGGAATGGCATGAAAAAGATAAATTGGAGGCTCACTGATCAAAGCCACATTAATTCACCGTTACAACATTGTAATACCGGATGATGAGTTCTGCCTTACCGGAACTTGGGTCTTGGACGGTACCTCGTATAAACAAGTAAACTTTAACCGGACAGATGAGAAAATTATTTTCTGTAAAAATCTATTAAATGGAGATCCCCTCGATGGCGATGACAACTGGAACAAAAGTTGATTATTGCATACTTTGTAATAAATTGTTCATACAAGAAAATGGAAAACGCAATATTTCTCAAGTCCCCAACATTAAAATATTGGCATAAATGATTCCAAATGACCAAACAAAATACATGTATACCAACCCTGAAATGGATTTTTGAGCGTTTTTTCAGCTGCCGCTCTGCATTTATCCCGTACTGTTATAAAAATAATATTCTTGAAGAAATAAATAATTATAATAATATCTTTATTTAAAGAAGGTAATACATATAGATACACCATCGTAAAACACAAATAACATATCCTAATTTTAAATATGTCCTTCTAAACTATATATAAAAGTACACACACAAAACCACATGATCAAATAAGAACAGCTTCTCCACTTGTCAATTAAGATTTTGGTCCTATAACAAACATAATTTTATTACTTTAACAAACGCTCCTTTTCGATATCAAAATTACATTCAAACAATTTTCTTTTACATATAATAAACATGCATAATAAGTGTTATAAAATAATGACATAATGACAGAGTTATGAACAGAACAGAAATTTTATTAAGACTTGTTATGAAGATATCTATTTGATCTACAGTTATGATCCTAAAATCAGAAGAACGGATATCGAAAGGTATCCACGGTTCGTGACCAATGAAAACAAAAATGATAAATAGTTGAAACTCGCACACCATAAATAAACAGACGCTGAATACTATAGTGTTTGTATGTTAACAGTAGCTGAATCAACGATAAAGTGGAATCGATGTATCATTATTGTTTGGGTCATCTCCATTGTTGAAAACCAGCGGAGTTTCTGTTTACTTTCTCCCTCTATTTAAATGTATTTTATTCATGTTTTTCATGGCAAGAAAGGAGTTAATTTCAAAAGGTTTATTTAGCAGGACATATATAATGGCTTATCTTATACCATTAGAGTAACTATTATGCGTATGGATTTTTTAAAAATGCGATTCGTTTCTTGTACCGTAAAATCAGAAGATTTATCAGTGCTTTTTCTATAATTAATTTCAATAAGATATTTATTTTTCTACTATCATAACATGAGAAAATTTGGTGTTGGGGATTATTCACCTTCACTGCCTGATGAACATACTTCCATCAAACTGATTCTGAGGGGTGTACCCCTTTTTCCCCACGGCGAAAATATTAGTTTGAAACCCAAAACTTCAAATGTGATTAGCAGAAGTGTTGTGCCTAAGAATAATCAACAACTCCTTTTTGCAAAATTTTGGGGTTCACTTTCCATTTTTTTCTCATACTTAAACTTTGTATTTGGCATAACCAAAAGGTATAGCAAATATTTAATTGAAACTTAATAGATTGATATATATTACATATAGGCAAAGAGCAGTGTATTCAAAGCACAACACTGTTTTGCATTATTTTGCCCTTTCTATGTTTTCATACTTTTATGGCAGAATATGTCAGTTTCAGGGTTTCACAGCTGTATTTATCTCACAAGTGAGAACCTCGCTATTTTACAGCCATATCTCTCTTTAATATGATTTTGGAATTATTGCCTTTTGCATATTTTCACATTAATATTTCTTCAAAACTGAAGACATTTGGATATCAACTTGAAACTTTATACATTGATACATCTCATTAAGGAAACAACATTGTCCAAAAACCTTTTTTTTGGATTCAATGAATTTGGTAATTTGAGAATAATCATGCTTTTATAAGATTTGAATCCCAATATAGAAATTCTTATCTTAACAATATATATATATAACAAATATTTTATTATAAAAAACTACAGTGCACAGAGCTAAGATATTTGATTTGTAGCACTGCCTAGAAGTCCTCTGTAAAGAAGAATCATGTACATGAAGTACAAATTGACCCATCCCTAGACACTTCGTTGTAAAAGTATTCTCCCCCGAAACGATAATGTCCTAAAAATAGTAATTTGGCATGAAACGTCACATTGTGATCCTGAACAAAATCATGTCCCTAAGTTCTAAATTGGCCAATCCCGAACACTTACTTTTCATAGACAAATCAACATACTACCCACATAGCTTATATATTCGACTAACATCATTGCCTTGTGGACCTTAACACAATTTATATAAATTAAACACACTTGATTAATAACCTTTTATAATACTAATAGAAAAAAATACCATGTAGCATCACACGTCTTGTTGCCCATTAACATTTTACCATAAAAATGAAGGATCATCTGACTTACAAAACAGTCACCATTTATGGTGGCTGATTTGGTACGCTTTTGTGCGTCTCGTTGGCGCTAGCGACAACACGACAAAGCGCCAAACGGCGCGTTGTCGCGCTGTCGTCTTGTCGTCCTGTCTCTAGCGCGGCACGCCAAACGGCGCGTTGTCGTGCGGCGTGTTGTCGCGATGTCACATTGTCGCTCGGTTCAAATTGAAGGATTGGCTTATAAGCCAAGCGACAGGGCGACATCGCGACAACGCGCCGCACGACAACGCGCCGTTTGGCGTGCCGTGATAGAGACAGGACGACATTACGACAACGCGCCCGTTTGGTGCTTTGTCGTGTTGTCGCTAGCGCCAACTAGACGCACAAAAGCGTACCAAATCAGCCACCATAACCATCAGATCCGACTGTCCACTTCATGAAAAGGGCAAGTGCTCATTCATGCCTTGCTATTCGTCACAAAGTTGTGTACTGTCAGACCGATTGCTTATATATCAATAAAATTTAGGCATTTATATACACAATTTATCGTTGTATGAATATTGTTTGTTTTACATTAAAGCAAGTTTCGTTGTATAATGTCAATTGATTAAAAGCCATTTACTAGCAGATTTTGTTCTGGCTTTTTCTTTTGTTTACTTGAAATTTCCCTTTCGAAGTAATTCATTACCGTCATGTAGAACAAAATCATTGTAGAATATAGAATAGTAAAAATCTATAAAAAGTATTCATCCACTTTGAAATAGATGGAACAGAATTGATTTACGGGAGCTGAAGTTAAATCAGAGAATTTACATATAATAACTTAGAGTGGTGGAATAAATTTGCATAAAAGCATACACTTTTTATGTACATTTAAGATACATGAATAGGATTTTGTTTGTTTTAAGGTAAGTGTTAAGATCTTGTCAAAATGAAAACTTCCCATCTGGCAATGATAGAGGCGATATTTATCGTGTCTGTATGTGGCCAGGATGATATTGTCTCGCAGTATATAAAACTTTACAAAACACTTGAGGAGAAGTTGTATGAAAAATCCGGCCAGTTTTAAACCAGTCAAAATCAGTGACTGTAGAAGTTGATGTACATTTGTTAGGAATTCAAGAACTGGACGAAAAGGAACAGATATTACAGTCTAGGATTGCTCTTAACTGTCGTTGGAAGTATGAAACTTTAAAGTGGAATGTGTCTCAATATGGGGGAATCAGAAAACTGAATTTTTCACCAAAGATTGCTTGGATACCTGACATTACAATAAGCAATTCAGTTGACTCTATGTTTGTTTTGACAGATAACAACGGTGATATGAATAGAATAAAAATAATGAGTAATGGAGATGCAGAATGGGATTCTGGCGGGAACATACGTACAACATGTCGAATAGATATTACTAAATATCCGTTTGACTCCCAAACATGCAACATTGTCATTGGTAAACTTGAATATGACAGTGAAGTGTATATGTCTACATCATCTGAGAACGTTTTTACAACTGCTTTAGAAGGAAATGGCGAATGGAAATTGAAAAGTGCATTGATAAAGGAGAAAACAGTCCATCACAACGTTACTGAAATTATTGTTATGTTAACTCTATCACGTTACTGGTTTTTCTATGTTGTCAACATTATGTTGCCAGTGGCACTCCTGTCCATTATGATGGTGTTAAGCTTTAAGATACCGCCCGTTAGTGGGGAACGGTTAGGATACAATATGGCGTTACTCCTGTCTTTTGTTGTTCTTCTAAACCTGATTGGAGAATCAATGCCTAGAGTGTCTAAACAAGTGTCATATCTTCAGTTGTACGTAAGTTATCAGCTCAGTATGGCAGTAGTTATCACGTTGTTGTCAATTTTACTGGTAAAATTTCAATTCACCAAATCAGAAATAAACATTCCAGTTGTTATTAAACTGTATTCATTCTTCTGTCGGTGTAAAAGACAAAAAAGTGAGATTTCAAACAACGTTAATGACAACAGCAGAATCGATCAACCTTCATTTGAAAATGAAGAGAAGATCCAGTCGGAAGATAATGATCAAATGCTCGCAACTGACGCAGAACAAATAATTGAAAGACTTTTTACATGGATCTTTCTCGCCATGTTTATTCTGTCAACGATTTTGTTTCTTGTAGTGGTAGCTACTTGAAATTTAAATAATTCAAACAACATTTATCACCTTTATACCAACTTTTTTTCTTAACATTTTTTTCTGATTGTCTTCAGAACGATTTAGAAGAGTTAATAGAAGAGATAATAGAAGAGTTTGTATCTCTCAAACAAAATATACTGTATTCTATGACATTAACGCTTGTAGTTCATTAATTTAGAATAAGATAAGACCTTTATTACATGCTTTTCGGTGGTTTATAGAAATATATCAGTGATATAAAACTGGTAATTTCACTGTTTGAAACAGTGAAATTACCACTTTGATAATTTCACTGTTTAGAATTTAAGCCCCTTACGTTGTTTCAGTGAAATACCAGCGTGCACAGAACTGGGTACCAACTTAATGACGTGACGTCGTAAATGACGTCACGTTGTATTATTATTTGGCGCGCTTTTCATTCAGTATTAGGTTAAATGTCTTTTTAAAACGTTTCTTTGCATATAATAAAAAGAAAATTTGTTTAGTTTAGTGTAAGATCGAAATATATTTCACCTTGTGAACACCAAAAGTTCATATTTCACTCGTGGCTGCGCCACTCGTGAAATATACCTTTTGGTGCTTACTCGGTGAAATATATTCCGATCTTACACTGAACTAAACAAATATCCTCTATATATCAGCTTTCGGTTCTGATCTTTTTTCATTCCTTTAATGTGTTGTAAAGTTTTATTTGTAAAATGTAAATGTATACACTTGTTTGAAATAAACTATGTTTAATCTAAACTAGTTCATCAAAAATATAGATCAACGTTTATGTGGTTTGGCGCGCCTAAAAAACGGTTTAAACTCCCCAGTGGTTTAACTACCACTGACCGTTCCAAGGCGGTACCCCTCTGTGTTCCTTCGCGTGTTTTTCATGTCTGTTTTATTATTCGTTTTGGATGTTTACATGTTTTGTGATGTCTGTCTTGTTGGATTGTCGTTGACGGTAAATATTTTCTCAACCCCCCCCCCCCTCACCAATTTTTACCCCCCCCCACCTTTTCACCCTTACAGCCCTTATCCCTTTAATTGCCTTATGGGCCCGTTTTAGTTGATATTATTTCACATTACATGCCCCACTCCTTTCACCCTTATGTCCGAGGTAGAGTGTGTCGGGGGCCGCGTCCTGTGAACGTTGCCTCTTTATTCTTGTTTTTTTACAGTTACATGTTACAAATGATACAAATCTACAAAAAATCATGTAAACAAAACAGACATGAATAAATAAGCATGTGGCACGGTAATTTAGACTCATGACGCTTTAATTGTAAATCTGTCGAATGATAAAGCAATGCAGATAATACTGTCGGCAAGTTGTGCTAGAAACCTGTATTTTGCATGCCATTTGAAATTATTCAAAATTGAAAATCATAGAAACCTACAACGTAATTGGAGATAAAAAATAACTAAAAGACCTACAAAAAGATAGGGACGTAGGGAAGGGGGCCAAAAGGAAGGACCGGTGGGTGGGAGGGGGTAAAATGGAGAAAATAATAGAAAAAGGGGAGAGACTTACCGTAGACAGAAAAAAAGAAGAAGGGACACTCATATGTTAAGTGGCACAGGCATAGGATCAAACTAGACTCGCAAATTTTGTAATGAAATGAATAGAATTTCACGGAAATGAAAATTCTAATCGGAAAGTTGACAACCTTCATTGATGGTCTTGGAAATTTATGATGTTCTCATCATTAAAATCTGGAAAAAGGTGATCCCTCGGAAGCATTAATTACTGTAAATTTCATGACAATTGCAGACTCGGTTTGATTGAGTCTGTACATGAGGGATAATGAAGAAGTGCTACATCCCTCACGCCCCCTAGCACCGGCTTTTCAACATTTAAAAGTGATACACAAAGATCCAAAAGGACCAGAAAAATATAACGATACTGACTATGAACAGATCCTGATTTACACTCAAGTGGCCTCTATAAAGCCCAAAAGCAAGCAATTTCACATAGCTGTCATATGTAAATTGCTACCTCTATTTAATCTATAAATACAAACGAGTTCCCTTTTCAAAATTCCATTTTATTTAGTTCCGACCATTGTTTTCTAGTTTAGGACAAACGGATTTTTTACTTAGGGACCACACGCCGCTTTTCATGGAATGCCACTAACGTGTCACATTGAAGTTCCATGATAACCGCCATATGAACACATCTGCGGATGTTTCAAAATTCCAAATTTTACCAGTTCATGTTAAGCCGGTGTTAGGGGGCGTGGACGGAAGTTTGCACTTGACAGTACCGTCCATGAACAGGCTCAATCAAACCGAGCCTGCAAAATTTTCATTTTTGCCGTGTTGGGCTTTCTTTTGGGATTCTTATTTTCTCTATTTTGCATACATGGAACAATTCATTTTTTTGTTTAGAGAAAAATGTTAATATATGAATATGACATTACACGAATAACTAGGAAAAGCATATTGTAGGTTAAATCAATGCAACCAGTAACTTTGTTTTGCCATTATCAATCGTTTTACATACTCTATGTACATCAGATGAGAGTAATTCTAATGTTGTTTGGTTTGGTTGGTTCTTTTTTTACTCCGATTTTAACACATTGTTTGTCATATCTCGGCGCTCGTTGGAATAACTAATCAATAATTATCGATATCTCCGCAAGTGACACTACATAATTTCTTTTACAAATGATCATTAGATTCAATTTCCGAGATCAATTATGACGTAAAATTTCGCCTCTCTACATGATCGAGAGAGCGACCCTTGAATTATAAATCCAAAGTTCTCTAAAAATAATAAAAGTAGCCCTGCAGGTTCGATAAAAAAGTAAGACATTTGAAATCTAACATTTATTAGTAATTGTTAAGACAATCATTAGCCGACGGCATGGGGATTAAGTGTGGGCGTGATACTTGTTGTTGTTGTTGTTGTTGTTGTTGTATAACAATTAAAGTTATCACCATGTAAAATCTGCCCTTGTCTGTCGCAATATGTAGAGTAACACCAGTTTGATGATGGATCGTAGCCCTTCTCGATTGTTGAACCGGGAGGATAATAGTGGCCATTGTAATAACAACCTGGACGTATGGTGGTCGGTATTGTGGTAGGAGGTACGGTTGTAGGCGGTGTCGTCATACAGTTGAAATCATCCCAGGTCTGTATCTGTCCGTACATGTCACAGTGTGTTCCGTAGCACCAGTTGGAACTAGGGTCATATCCGTTCTCTATTTGAGATCCTGGTGGGTAATATTTATTATGATAATAACATCCAGGCGGTTTTGTTGTCTGTGGTATTGTTGTTATATCTGAAATTAAACGAATTGCAACGTTAATTAATCCCAACAATTACTTCTGGTTTGACTATAATGTAAAAGACCTTTTTTTATTCATTCTGCTGTAGCATATTCTGAAGCTTGGAAACAAAAGTTAAGTTAGCACTGGTGGTCATAATCGTTATATACACTACAAACAAAACTGTTCGACTTCATTAATATCTATATGCAAGCAACCGCCCTCCCTAATAGCATTAAATAAGGCATATTCCTTAACAAACAAACGAACGAACGAACGAATGAACAAACAAACAAAAAGTAAAAAAATAACTGAATCAAATAAAATCTTAAATTGGATGATATAAAATGAAAACTTGCTCATACATTGTGTACATTTATTTTTAAAACACGACAAAGGCGATCATTTCAACGCTTGATTTCTTTACTTCGTATTTTATACACATCACAAAATAATATAAAATGATAACAATCAATGTTACCCCCAAAACAATCAATGTTTATCCCAAAACAAATACAAATATACAACCTTACCATGATGTCCCGCCACTGGTGATGATGATGTAAATACACAACAACACAATAGTACTGTCAACGTTGTTAGGAAATTCTCTAAAACGATATCAAATACATACATATATTTGTAAATATATATGTATAAAAACATCTATATTTTTACAATACAAGTTTAAAAATCTCAAAAGGTTTTAATGTTATATAGTTTCGCACTGTTACTAACTATAATTGCATATTAAAATAAAGTTTGATAAAGAAATATATAAACTTTTACCTGATGTCTCCATGGCGCAATTATCAATGTGGAATAATGACAGACGTGTTATTTGGTACAACAAGAACTTTAAATTATCAGATAAGCAAACAATTAAGAATGTTTTGATATAGTCCGGAGTAAACTTGTTTTAAACTTGTGAATTATATCTCAATTAGTCTCAACAAGACAATTCAAAATAACAGCGGAATGATACCTGAATTAAACATATTCTAACAGCTGTTCATATAAGCTTTAAGCAAAATTCTAAATCATTTTTGAAAAAGTATTTTGATAATTAGTTTCAACATGCGACGCGCATAAATTATTATAAACCTCATTTGTCTTCTATTTTTGGTACCAAAACCCTTTACTATACATCAAGTAAATGGAAGCCACCGTTCCTTATTGCGTCCCCCTCCGTCCTCACCCCCCCCCCCCAAAAAAAAAAAAAAAAAAAAAAAAAAAAAACACACACACACACACACACGCACACACACGCACACACAAACACTCACACAAACGTTAAAATCATTGCATTCAGTTTAGTTTAAGTAATTCAGAAAAAATGAGGGAAAAAAACATTTTAAAAGTTTCATTATGTCACAGGGTGAGCAAAATGTGCAGCCTGACCAAACCCGGGTCCCTCGGAATACCGTACCGCGACTCTTCCTATCTTCTCACATAAATAGTGAACAGTTCTGACCGTCATAATTAAAATACAATTAACACTCATTTTGCAAATGTTGTTATATTCGTTCCATTGGAACATTTAAAACACCTTACACTATTAGTTTCATGTAAAATATGACTGGTAAGTACTCAGTTAAAAGTGCTGAAATACGGACTTACATAAAAGCTCTTGCAAAACTAGGAAAATCTGCTATGAATGTGTATAAAGATATTTGCAATATTTATAGCACAATGAAGTATCTTGTGCAATTATTTCAAGGCGGGTGCATAAATACAAAAATGGAAACAAGTCAGTAAAAGATGAATGTAAGTCTGGTAGAAAATGCTCCCTAGTTACTGACAAAAACATAATGTCAAGCTTATCATTGACAAAGATGCCAGAATTTCCACTTACCGAGATTGCTCATACCACTTCGAAAGGTTGAAATACAACATTGTAAAATATTTGCTTTTTTTAATTTATTGACCATATTGCATTACATATTGAATAATTAATAGATGATTAGTGTTTACCTTGTCTGATTGATGAGGAATTCTGTATTAAAGCGACATGCTTATTTTGCTTCAGGTTGATCATTTAAATATTGCGTCATTTATTATACACGTACATTTTTTTCCATGAATATACAACAACTGTAGAACAGGGATAATCATGTTTATTTCAATTGCCGATAAGCCCAGTTGGTTATTTTGACAAATTCATATCTTTATAAGTGTTAGTTATCTGCACTTACACCGTGGCAAGAGTTATTGAATGATTTGATTTGTATAACAATTTGTTTGGTGATAAGTTATGTTGCTACAAGTAGTAAATGTTTAAATTTTAATGTTGTATTGCCCTAGTTTATCTGTTGACTTACTTTATTCTATCATTTACAAAATATTTTGTATCTATATAAAGTATGTGTTTGAGTGGATAATCCATGATCATCTACCAAATATTATATGTCGATCCTTACATCGTCTTCTTGTGGTTTTCTTATTTCCACATACGGGCTGGTTAATGTTTTATTTTCTCCACACATTGTCTCCCTTACACCGATCATACAATTTATATCATTTTGCTGTAATTCTTACAACAGCAATAAGTTTAAAGTTAGTTTATGATGTCAATGATGTTGCTCACCTTACACAACTTTCTTTCAGTTGGACAAAATGATTTCTACTATTTTTCCTGAAGGATTATAATCTTTGCAAGAGAATGAACAGACCCCTTTGCAGACCTCTCGTGCATTGGACAGTCTTTTAAATAAGTATGATTTAACCATTTTATAAACCTTTTACTTAATTTATTGTTCCTGACTAAGCCAAAAAATTCTAAATAAGGTTGTATAACATTGAGAACCCAGTTACGCTTACTTCGGTGTTGTTAAGGATGCCGATTTCTCTAGGAACTAAATAACTTTCTTAAGCTGTTAATATTTCTTCACTTACTTCACCGTGTATATCCAGTAACGCCGGAATGTGAAAATAACGCACGATTCGTGAAATAAGTAACGCAAAATTGTGCAACAAATGGCGGATAACTGACAGGATTTCCAAAGCGGTAAGTAAACTGGCCAATATATTTTTTATTAAATCGAACTGGAAAAAAGGAATAGCCGCATACGGCTGCAAAGACATTACTCTTTATCCCTAATCAAAGATTATTTCCACGAAATTGTTTACTTTTTAACATCATTCGTGAAAATTTTTATTTTATTTGTAAATGATATATCTTCTTGTATTAATTTCTCACAACTTTCTAATGATGATATAAATTTATTGTCAATGTACATGTTATTGTTTGCTGACGACATTGCACTATTTACTACCAATCCTGACAGTCTACAACTCCAACTCAACCAGGTATATGAGTATTCACGAAAATTGGGTTTGAAAATTAATGTAGATAAAACCAAAATATGTATTTTTGAAAAGAGAAAATCTAGACATAACTATACCTGGTTTTGTTTGATAATGAGTAATTGAAATAGTTGATTCATTTTGTTACCTTGGTATACAATTCTTTTATACTGGTTCTATGATTAATGCTGTAAAAACTTTAAGCGACCAAGCTCTAAAGGCATATAACAATTTGTTGTCCGTGTTTAGTAGAATAAACTAGACATTAAAAAACTAAATTGTCCCTATTCGACTCTCTCGTTGTTCCAATACTATTGTATGGATCTGAAGTCTGGGGAATATATAACTGCAAAGAAATCAACAAATTGCATCTCCGTTTTTGTAAAATAGTCCTTGGTGTCGACTCAGACTTCCAATGCTGCTGTGCTTGGTGAGCTTGGTCGCTTTCCTTTATCTGTTATCTGTAAAGAACGTGCTCTTAAATACTGGTTAAATATAATGAAATAATCCAGGGTCATTAGTACATACAATTATTTTTGGAACAATGTGCTTTGTTACCTAATAATACCATGTCTACTTGGTCATCGTCTGTTAAAAAACAACTTGATAGTCTTGGATATAGCTACTTATGGAATTCCTCTAAACCTTGATATGAATTATTTGCCAATGTTAAAAAAAAGGCTGCGTGATCAGTACGTTCAAACATGGAATGATACAATAATGAATCAATCTAAGTTATATTATTATAGAAAATTCAAATGTGAGTTTAAATATGAAAAGTATCTAGATATTGTTACAAATGAGCATCAAAGAAAAGAATTGTCTCGTTTTAGACTCTGTTCCTATCTTCTTGAAATTGAAAGTGGTAGATTTGCAGGTATTGATCGAAACCTACGAACTTGTAAACTTTGTTCACTTAATGTTGAATCTGAATATCATTTTTTGTTATGCTGTCCACTCTACAGAAACCTTCGTCGAAAATATAATGTTAATTATTCTTTTCCATGCATTAATAAATTTACTAGATTATTGTCTTCAAGTAATAATAGAACTATTAGGAATATTGCCAAATTTGTATTTTATGCTATGCATTTGAGAAATGAAAAACTTGCAATTATTGCTGCTTCTTAGATTCTTGTATTATAACTGTATTGTATTACATGTATTGTATTTATGTTAAATGTAAATTGTATTATCTTGGCCATCCTTTTGTATATTGTAAATGGCCAAAGGTATATTGTATATGCCGATTTGCCAATAAACTGAAACTCGTGAAAATGATGGCTTGACCACCGTTTTGAGCGAGATTTTGGCTTTTTGTCGGTTCTTATAAGTACAACAATGCATATTTTAGAGTATATTTTCGACTTTCAGTAGGCAAGTGACATTTACTAAACTTCTGGTGATAAAGAAAATTGAAATACGCTGATTAAATGTGATTCAAGCCGTTTTTATGAGGTAACGCCGATGTACGTGAATAGTGCTTCGCGGTAACGCCGGAAAATGTGATTTTTTTATATATGGCACTGAACTGTTACACAGGTTTAACGCCTTTTATCGGCGAATATAATCAAGTTATTTGCGACATAGTCAGTGAATTTAACTTATTAAGAAATATATAATAATTCGATCTTGACAAACTTGACATTTGTGATTGCCTGGTGAAGTTCTGTGAAAATGGATTATTTACATGTATTTAATTTATTTTCTCTTATATTCAGTACAATATATGAATCTATTCACGTACATCGGTGTTACCTCATAAAAACGGCTTGAATACCATTTTTTCAGCTTATTTCAATTTTCTTTATCACCAGAAGTTTAGAAAATGTCAATTGCCTCCCGAAAGTCAAAAATATAACTGAAAAATTTTGCTTGTTGAAACAAAATAAAAAAGTCGAAAAAAAAAACCCCAAAAATTCTCCTCAAAAGGGTGGTAAAGCCATCTTTTCCCCCCAAAAATAAATTTTGGGAAAAGTAAAAAATTTTCCAACGGAATATCTTGATGAGGGAAAAAGAGTAATGTCTTTGCACCCGTATGCGGCTATTTTACTTTTTTTAGTTCGGTTAAATAAAAAAATATTTTTGGGCCCGTTTACTGACCGCTTTTTTGGGAAACCTGTCAAATTATCCCCCTTTATTTTCAAAAATTTTGGGGTTTTCTTATTGCAAAGAATCGGGGTGTTTTTAACCGGGGTTACTGGATATACCCCGGTGTACTACATATCTGTTAAGTCAACAAAACAGCCTTATTTAAGTTCAAATTGATACCTAATTGGTAATGATATCATGGCCGTGCTTATTTCATAGATGACATCATTTATCGGTTTTAAGATAAAATGTATTTTATTCACTAATATTGATATATACGGTGTTAACATGTAATTATTTTGCAAATATGTTTATACTCAACATAGTCGTGTGTGTCTTGAATGAGCCTTTTAAGACATACTTCACAACATTTGCTTACAGCCTTAGATGAATACAAAAATAAATATTTAGTCAGGACAATATTTAAAAAAACTGACCTTGCGCATACGGGCAAGTTAGTGTTGTTATGCCCCAAAACTCACAGAAGGTCACGATTTACTATCACAGAATGACCGGTACACAATACAGATTGACATATCTGTGAAACAACTGTAAAATGTTCATCATATACATCTTGCAAGTCAGACGGATTTCTGCGAAATTGGTTGCTTTTAGCAGAAAGGTCAGTATGTGTCGGTAGTCCGTAAATTACTAGACTTCTCTTCCGTATATATGATCCGATCACTAACTTGTGACAAATACCGAGTTTAGTTTAATAGTTCAAGTAAGATTTTCAATTGTACTTTTGTAGCCCGATCTACATTACAATAATGAAGTATATATTTTCAATAGGTTACACAATATGACAGTTTTACAAAATCGTTATGTTTTCAATGTGTCCTCTATGAACAAATCAACTCGTCTATAAACATGATACTTAAATCATTTTAAACATTTGTACATGTTCATTTAATATACATTAATACTACGTTTCAGTTATAAAGATGGATAAAGGGATCATGTAAAAACTGAATTAATCTTCTTGGCTTAAAAAAATGAAATCATGACTTAGATCCTCATAAGTGTAATTAAAGATGAACGTCCATACGCACCGACAAACACTCAATTTATTGCTCATAACTGAAGTATTTCAAATGCATTTCAAAGCCTTTTGTAACAAACATAATTTATACCAGGTCTGTTACATTTTGATAGTTCTAATCGAAAAAGGCATTTCATTCCAAACTGTCGTATTGTAATGAGTGAAAATGCTTTTAGATAGTTTCGTTGGGGTATAGTACTTAAAATTAAATCAGTGTTAACATTTGTTTTACTTTGCAGTTGCAGCATATATATAAGAGTCATATAATAACATTTACTACAGAATGGCTCCTGCAGAAAATGATGTAACAATCCGCTGAACAAAGATAATTGTGTTATATGTCTTGGTTTTGCACAATAATCTTTGCTACTTTTTTGGTAAAATGTTTAGTGTTAATGTTCTTATCTTATACGCGACTACTATAATCTATCACTAGAAGTATATAGGCTTTATATAATACATTATTCTGTTTCTTTTTCTGGTAAGATAATTTAAAACATGTTTAAGTAAGATAATTTTAGTTGTAAAGCTATTGTCATGACCCAATCGGTGCTATCAGCATCGGCGTTGTTATGCTTGGTCTGAGCTGTGTTTATCGGCTATTTAACACCGTTTTGGGGTTTTGATGCGCAGGAATTGACCACGTAGGCGATAGACATCTTCTCCTGCAGGTAAAATTGACATGCTTTTGTATTAAATGGATATTTTAAACACGGTTAAGTCCCAATGGATCGAACTTGTTAGACATTTGTTGTGGTTTTTCCGGATTATTGTACAGTCAGAGTTTCTTAATGGTTCATTGGTCAATTTGCCGAAACTTAAAAGATAATTTTATACGGAAATGTCATTCTGGTATACAATTACGAAAATCTCTATAAAGGTATAAACTGAGTTTAGTACAAATGCCCCTATCAAGATTTTGTCATCTAGACGTAGCTTATCAATTCTGTTTGCTTTTTACTAGAACCTTAGGCTGCCTGTGGAAACAGGAAGATGGCAGAGCTTACCTTCTCCTGAAAGAAAATTTCACTATTTGTTCACATGTCAAAAGTTTTTTGCTGAAAGTAAAAAAATACTTAAAAACAATATTTCTATTTTAATCCCACTTTTTTATTTCTAATTAGTAGATTTGTTTACTAGTAAAAATAAAACTTAGATAAACTTAGTATATTTATCGAAATAATATTTAAAATCATGTAACACAGATATGCCTGGAATGCTTGTTTATTTGTAAAATGTATATTTGCTATACATATGTTTATTTGTAATTTTACAATGTCATCAGTTCCCATATACTTTTAAAGAGTTTGCCATTCTCCTTTAACTTAATATGCCGCCATAATTCACAGTAATTAATATAATTTATGCTTATAGTGTTAACTTGATATAAACCTAAGATGCAAATAAAAGTTTGAAGTTTGGAGATTGTTCGGAACCAATATCATGTATTCAATAGATTTATGTAGATTTAAATTATCAATAATTTGCTTACTTCAAGAGGTGACATAAATTTTATCCCAGTGATAAAGTTTAAAAAATTTCAGTTTTGAACGTTGATTTTCTTTTATTATGTTTGAAATATTTATAAAATGTTTATTTAATTCATTGATTGTTTTTATTGATATATACAGACGATTACTATGGAAGACAGCGAGAGAATATCGACTTTGATTTAATAAAAGTTTTGATGTTACTGTCAACGCAACAACAAATGATCACTATATATGAGTTACATTGTATATAAATGTTTATATAGTAGATATCAATACATCTGTATATATATTTTCAACAAAAATGATTGTTTTAACAAGAGCTATAATGATCATAATCTAACTCCAGTGATGAGATGAAACTCTGATGTATCTAGAATTTAACGCGGACGTAACAAATAAAAATATGACGTCATTTACGGACTTTCATAAATTGATCACAGTTATCTGTCCAAAATATCTAAGATGAGGTACAAAGTATAATATATGATAGTATAAGCCAATGTGAATTCAGTTATGTAACTACTGTACTGATTATAAAGTCAGTATACTATGTTATGTCAGATTAACTGATGTATAAAAGTTTAATTTACGTTGGATTTTAAGTTACAGTAAACTATAGATAATATCCAACCTTCGTATAACCATGTCGCTATCACATTTAGAAATATGTAACTTAATATCATAATGTACTCAAAAATGGTTCTACCTGAAGATGTCTTTGTGTTAACAAAAAGGGAAATACAGTTACAATACTTAAGGTATATGCTTTATATTGTGAAAAAGATTTACACAAAAATTGAAATGAGAAATGCCATGTATTATATAACAAAGCGATAATCTAGAACATGCAAGCAACATCAACCATTCATCATGGTAAGATTAGATCTGATGTAAGAATAAAGGCGATTTCTTTTGAGGTTATTTTTTCTGACGAAACTTACAATTTGATTGCTTTATTAGATACTGCATGACCAACGTATATAGTGACACAACATTGGGAGTTTACTGCGGTTTGATCATTTTATCAGGGTGGCTGCTATATTAATCTTGTGTTTTATGTGTGTATAACCAATAAAACTTTTTAATTAAAAAACATAACATGAACTTAAAATGAATCGGAAAATGAAAATAGCTTGGAAAGTGATTAAGTCGACGAGTTACTAAAGAGATGTACAAATGTATAAAGACTGAAATATTACTACACATAAATTTAGAGAGCAAAAACTTGTTTAAGCGCAAAAGTACATAAAAGATCTAACAATAATCTGTCGGTGGGATTTAGTCTTGTCTTTACTTCGTGTTATTGTAACGTTTAAACTGATATATCAAAATTCCTGAATCATTAAGGTATCTCTCCGCCGTCCTCGTTGAAGTGTTTGTACGTGAACAACGTCACATTGTGGGAGTAGTAAATGTGACTATAGTCTACATTACCATCTTATTGTACAGGTGTAATCATTTAATACATTCAATCTCATCGATAAAGATCGGAAATACATTTATTTATCTAGTCGCTAAATGTGGTGAACATTCACTAATTATGATGTAGAAATAACTAAACAGTGAAAGTGTGAACGGTTTAAAGTTTTTACAATTTATTATAAATCAATTTAACTAATTTGGATTAAGTGTTTGTCGATTACGCGTTGAGACTATCTTCATTAAATTAGATACATATAGTTATATTTGGTGTCTGTATGTATTTTGACTATGGTGGTGTTACGGGGTGGTTTAATCAAATGTGTTGTTGTCGGCGACGACAATGTTGGAAAGACCAGTATGCTTATGTGTTACGCCACAAACAGATTCCCATCACAGCACGTGCCAACAGTCTTTGATAACTATGCAGGTAATAGTCGTACATTGTTTATTATATCATGATATTTTTAATTTTCTTGACGTGCTTATCTAGCTCAACTAGTTTTTATTTCTAATCGAAATATGTATTTTCGCTTTAAGTTACAAAATAAATGATTATTCACCGTGTAAAACTGGTCAGTGAAAGGAAATGTGTTTTTCTTATTCTAATAAGTTTGCAGGTAGCTTCATTTTCCCGCCATTTTTGAATTATTTGTATGTCAAATTGAACGATTTTATTTATCATAATGTTGAGGTTAACATTTCTGCAATAAGTCGGTGAACCTTTTTCAATTTCAACATTAACCGACGTGAATAGTTGAGATTTAGATAAGAAAATTTGTAGGATTACATTTAAGTCAAATTAATTCTTCAAAAATGATAGACGGCTTGTCAAGTCATAAAGTAATTGTTTATTATCTAATTATCATTTTACATAAATATGTGATACAAAGTATGATTGTTGACAAATATTTCACCATGATGGATGGCTTTTGTTGGAAGTTATCAAAATATCAAAAAATGAAAATGCATAAATTTAAATAAAAATGAGAGCTAAATACAATAATGACTGACCTGAGCACCTGGCAATAAGATAGTTGAAAATGTCACATTGTTTACAAAAAATATTTAATTAATGGCTTTAATAACGCTATTTATTTTGCGACTCCGTTAATATGGTATTGCACGGCCGTGCATATATTTTGACGTGACGTCATTAGCGTTATACAAACATAGTGTAAAGACGCGCTAAATGTTAGCGTTATACTATAGGCGCGTCAATGTAAAATGACTCTTATTTCACTTTAAACTGTCTTTATTTTGGGTATGTGATAAATAGGATACTAAATTCGTGTAAGTTCATTACTGAATTTATTACACTCGTTTAATAAAATAATATTATGCTCGCCAGAGGCTCGCATAATATAATTTTATCCAACTCGTGCAATAATTTCAGTATTAAACTTACACTCATTCAATATCCTCTATACATATATAAGCTAACGTTTAGTAATATGTACGTGCGTACGTGTTAGTGTTTTCTTAACAGAGCTCTGTTGCAAAAACAACAACAACAACAACATCCCCGCAAAAAAAAGCAAAGCAAAAAACAAAAAAAAAACTGAGTCATGGAAGGATTGCTTATAAAATGTATGCTAAACATCTCAAGACAAAAGTATAATGTGAACAAAATATTTGTTATTCCTCTTTTTCTCTATCTGATAGGAAAAATCATTGATTATATAAATTGTTTATTTGTTTTGAAGAGACTGTGACAATAACATTCTATATTAAGATCATAATATAAACAACAGCACGATACTGACCTAAATACATGTAAAAGTATGTTTATAAATTGTCACCGCAAGCATTATAAATGACATTATACCTATTAAATCGGCGTACAAATATGGGCGTTAAGATGTCGTCGCATTTTACAACGGAATTTCTTTGTTCCGTGTAACATTTATTTGTGAAAACTAAGTAAATTGGGAAAAATGCACCAATATTCTGCGTACTTTTATGTTAACAAAATTAAATGACATGTATCGTTACTTTTGTTTGAAATTAAATGCGTAAAGTAGCAACATTGTATTTATGATTTATCTAGATTTTGTAAAATTGTTAAGATAAAATGAATAATTATTGCGACACCTTTAAATATTCTAATAGCTCAAGACAATTGCAAAATTACTAGACTATTAAATTTTCGGTACGACACCAAACAAGTAATTTTAGTGAAACATTTGTTACCATGTATAGTAGCAAAATTGACCACGATTACTGTTACATGACCAATTAAAGAGAAACTCGGGCAAAATAATGACAAACATATATTAAAATGATATTATGTACTCAAATCAAGCTAAAATGAATTTTTTAAAGTCCCAGCATGAATTTCTGTATAAATTCTATATATTTTGGGTTTAAAACGTTAATATATCTACACTGTAGATATTTTGAACGGAATTTAGAGGCCGACAGAGTCACCTAGTTTGTGACTTGAACAAACCATGGAAGTTTCATTACAGAAATTGTGGATATTGTATGATTGAAACAAGTCTGAATCATTTTATTCTTTAACGTTTCAAGAGTTCACTGTCACAACTATTGTAAAATCTTACCAACGTGGGTCAAGTTAGGAAGCCACCATTTTATTGTTCTTTATAAGGAGAAAAGTTTTGTTCCTGTGACTGTCTAGGATATTTACAGAATAATGAATGAACAATTAAAAGTTAAGAAATGAAAATTTTGCCTGTGTCTCTCTTTAAGTGGCCAGCTGAACATTAGCACGTGCAAAAATCAACTTTGACGTCATCATACTAGCTAGCTGGCTGGCTTGATTAAAACTACTTAAAAAAAAAACGCACGATATTACTTAAAAGCAAAAGAAAACAGATTAATTAATTCTTCAATAAAAAGAAGCAACACTATGTCTGAATTTCTGAAGGGCTCAACAGATACAGATATATTAACAACAGAAATATTAAAGTAATTGAAAATACCATTTAAACTATCAACATGTGTATTAAAGAGATAATTACATGTCAGAAACGGGTCAGTGTAACAGTAAATTTTGACCCAGTTGAAAAATGACCAATGCGTCATTTTCAACAGATTATTGATCAATTTTTAACATTGAAAATTGACCCCTACCTCTGAATAATATGACCAAACACATATTAAAAATGGACCCCTTTTGAAAAAATTATCATCTATAGATAGGCAATATCGCAACGCTGAAAACTAATTCCTGTAATATTGCGGAGTATGCCTATGGCCATACTAGAGATAAAATATGAAATTCTTTGTTGTTTATAAACATTCACGTGCGCCACTTTCTAATAACATTATTATATTATTTGTCATGAAGTATAATTATACTGTTACATAAATAGAGATATATCATATTACTTTATACGCTTTTCTATTGTCGTATGCTAAAACTATAATTGATGTCTTCTGCGGATTTAAGGTGTGTGGGGGCGTGGCATCGAGGGCGCGCCCCTACCGTGCATTAACCTATAACAAGTCTACTAGGACAGCGAACTTTTTGCCTTGAGCACGCGCATTGTAAAAAGGTCATTAAAGGTGGATATAGAATAAGGCGATCAAAAATAAAAAAAATTCTGACCAAAACATATAACATGATGTCGTCCAATATTTTGATAGTATAGTTCAAAATGATTTAATAATATTGTATATAATTCATTAAAAGATATTGAGCAGGTATTTTTGTGCGGTGATTCAAAGTGAATCATCCATGGATATACAACAGTCATTTTTTATACACATAGTATGTTTGTTTCAAAGCAAAAGGTGAAGAGTTCATTTGAGGTTACATAAAAGGTGATCTAATTTCATTGCTATTTTATATAAGATACATTGTCTTTATTTGTCTTCACTTGGTATTTTTGTAAACTCATTTCGGTTCAAGTGTTAGATATATATTTGTCTATATAATTGACACTGTATATAGTCAATATATATGTAAAGAAGATACAGTAGGTGTAGCCATCCAAATATATGCCTATGGCAATCAAAATCACGCATAAATTGTTTATTTATTATTCCACAATATAAAACAAAATGAGTTATTAATAATGTTTTCCTAAGAGAGAAAAAGAGCGGGGAATCAAATTATATAAATGTTTAAGTGATCCAGGAGTCCTTGTCAATAGCATTTCCCAAGAACTTCTACAGTATAATCTGAGACAGTCATATTAATGATATTGCACGGTATTAAGATTGATTCTATATTATATTATGTTTCAGGTTCTGTTATATTATCAGACAAGCAGTACACTTTACAGATGATAGACACAACCGAACAGGTACCTGTTTTTTTCTTCCCGTGCTTAAATACTGTTTGGTTATATCCCGAACGTCGGTGCATTTTACCGGTTTTCGGGGATAACTAACCAGTAATTACCATTTTCTCCGCAAGTAACCGACCATTATTCCTCCGTGGTGAATCAGTAGTGAAAGACAAACAATTGTAAGACTAATGTACGAGAATATTTCTCTCCTCGTCCGAGGATCGCACCATTGACTCCTGTATAGAAATATATGTTAGTACTGATCGTTGTCAATCTATATAAACATAAAAGAAATAAATTTAGTGAAATAAGAATATGAAATAAGAATTAATGAAATTCGTTTGTAAGATTTTTTTTATTTTAGAGATATTAATTTGTTGTTAGCGAGATAAAACTTTTTTGTCCGTATTATGAATCATAATGGGAAGTAGATAAATACCACAACCGGAAATGGTCGGATATTGTTGAATAGTTAACATGTAATTTAATATATTGTTTGAAGTCAGTATATACGAACCAAATCTATATTTATATCTGGGTTAACAGATTCTGATATAATAGTTATAAATATATATGAAATTAGATCAGGGTGACATATAAACTTATTACTCTCAGATTTGATGTACACGTATCTTAATTATACATTGTATTTGGATAAAATACCGTTGGGAGATTTTATAATTGGCAACTTAGTAAACAGCGGTGATATACTACATCTTTATTTTTTTTAATACCACACAATACAACAGCATAAATGTACATGAATACATATAGTGTGCACATTGAATTAATACATAAATACATATAGTGTGCACATTACTTTAGTTATTGATTATTAAGAAAAATGTACATGAATACATATAGTGTGCACATTGATTTAGAACATAAATACATATAGTGTGCATATACAACATGTATAAAATCACTGATAATATGTTATCTAATTAATGCAGTAAACATTTCATTTTAAAATGGCATAACAAACTTATCTATATTAATCAAATACTTATATATGAACTTATAAAATATCATTTTCCAGTGATTGTAACGACATAAATTTCTTACAGGGTGACAGCGAGGAGGCCAGACGACATAGTTACTTTGGTGCCGATGTTTTTATTGTTTGTTTTTCTGTTGTGAAACCAGAAACTTTCGCAAATGCTCAGTGCCGATGGATTCCAGAAGTTCGGAATTTGATGGGAGAAACGCCCATTATATTGGTAGGAACTCAAACAGATTTGAGAGACGATGAAACTATTGTGAACAAACTAAAAGCACAAGGGAATAAGCCAGTTAGTGAGCGCGATGCAATCAATGTTTGCCGGCGTGTCGGGGTAGCTTGTTACTTGGAAAGTTCACCTCTGATGAAGAAAAAAATGAAACGTGTGGTGAATGACGCGTTTGTTTCTGTGTTTAGTTTTAAAGATAACCAGCACAATCACGGATGTATAATAATTTAATATTTTATTGGTGAATAAATCTTTCCTCATATTGAGGCACCAATCATCAGTAAATTATTTTCCTGTACGCAGTCTTGTGCCACCAATAACTTCAGCGGATTGCTATAACAAAATAACTGTATTGTAAGTTTGTAACTGATGAAATTTTCTCATATTTGAGAAAGTACAGAAAACGACTATTTCACAGGTCAAACCTGATAAAATGAATCCCTGTTGTGAAACGAAATCCTTCAAAAGACGAACAATTTACAGGGTGATCTGTCATCTTGGTATTATAGTACATGTTGTACTGGTTAATAGAATCACACCCTGTGGCTTTCTCCCAGCACCCTGGTAGTTCTAACTGACTTAATCATAAAACAATATGAGTAAAATTCTGGGCTCATTTCATTCCGAATGATAATGGTCATACATCTTAAAACATAATATAATAATATTCTTTATAAAAAGGGAAATAGAAAATAAAGTTAATAACAATATGTTTGTAACAATCGAAAAATGCCATTTTAACTTCAGTCCTTGTTATCGTGTATTGTTTGTGTAATAATGCAAACATTTCATTTAAATACATTTGTTAAAATCAGTGTATATTATACATGTACTGTACATATGCTCTATCGATCCTTGTAAATAGAGATGTTATAAGTTATTAAATATGAAATATAATGCGTTGTTCATGTTGGTTTTCAGTATACTAGCATTCATAAAGTGATGTAAAGATTTTTCCCACTGATTATTTGTCAATTGTTTTGAAACTGGATTTATATCGATTCTAAAAATATCTTTAGGCATTATACAATTTAAATCATACATCTTAAATTATACAATTAATTAATAATACATGACGTGATTGAACAGGCTGCAATGTGCAGTAGTAGACCGCAATGTGTGGTAATGGTAGTAGGCCGTAATGTGTGATAGTAGCCCTCAATGTGTGGTAGTAGGCGGCAATGTGTGATATGAGGCCGCAATATGTGGTAGTAGGCGGAAATGTGCGGTAGTTGCCCTCAATTTGTGGTACTAGGCGGCAATGTGTGATATGAGGCCGCAATGTGTGGTAGTAGCCCTTAATTTGTGGTAGTAGGCGGCAATGTGGGATATGAGGCCGCAATGTGTGGTAGTAGGCGACAATATCTGGTAGTTGCCCTCAATTTGTGGAAGTAGGCGGCAATGTGTGATATGAGGCCGAAATGTGTGGTAGTAGGCGGAAATGTGTGGTAGTTGCCCTCAATGTGTGGTAGTAGGCGGCAATGTGTGATATGAGGCCGCAATGTGTGGTAGTAGGCGGAAATGTGTGGTAGTTGCCATCAATTTGTGGTAGTAGGCGGCAATGTGTGATATGAGGTTGCAATGTGTGGTAGTAGCCCTCAATGTGTGGTAGTAGGCGGCAATGTGTGATAGTAGCCCTCAATGTGTGGTAGTAGGCGGCAATGTGTGATATGAGGCCGCAATGTGTGGTAGTAGGCGGAAATGTTGGTAGTTGCCCTCAATTTGTGGTAGTAGGCGGCAATGTGTGATATGAGGCCGCAATGTGTGGTAGTAGCCCTCAATGTGTGGTAGTAGGCGGCAATGTGTGATATGAGGCTGCAATGTGTGGCGGCAATGTGTGGTAGTAGGCGACAATGTCTGGGTAGTAGCCCTCAATTTGTGGAAGTAGGCGGCAATGTGTGATATGAGGCCGCAATGTGTGGTAGTAGGCGGCAATGTGTGGTAGTAGCCCTCAATTTGTGGGTAGTAGGCGGCAATGTGTGATATGAGGCGGCAACATGTGGTTGTAGGCGGAAATATGTGGTAGAAGGCCGCGATGTGTAATAGTAGGCGGCAATGTGTGGTAGTAGTTTAAACATACATGTAGTTTATTTCAAACAATGATACACCATGTTGTTAATACATTACAATAAGTAGTAAGGATTAGAGCCGAAAGCTATAAAGCTTATAAAGGTCGTCTCCTATATATTTGTACTTTGCAGTTAAATTATGACATATTAACATATTTCAACATATTTGGAACGAAAAAAATCGAAGATTAAGCTAGTAAAACTAGCTATTGTTCAAAAGATATTGTTTTAAGAATATCAATAATAATTAGAATTACAAAGAAGGTAAAGAAGATTCATTCGGATAGATCAAGTTTGCAACTGATTACGTGAAACTAAGCTCATGGAAATCGGTAACTTTCTCGTATATACATGAACTGCTTGAACTATTTTAGAATTAATATCATGGCTAAGATTCTGGTCTCCGTTTAGTAAGGTATGAAGTGTTATAGTACAGATGTTAGAAACAGCATCAGTCTGAGTCTGATATCATTATAGAAGTGACACTCAAAGAAGAAGTGGTGGTTACTTTCATGGAGTCCACATTGACAATTTGGTGAGGGGGACATATTTTTTTCTGAATAACTGATGGTTAAGAGAGCTACATTCTGTTAGGAGCCGTGTGTGCATGACTTGCCATTTTCTTTCACCTATGTAATAATATTTAGAGCATTTTTATATTACCTTTAAGTTGCGTTTTAAAGGAGGATAAAAATATTGAGTTTTGTACTTCTCTTGAGAGGATTGCAGTAGGTCGCTATGTATTGTAGTAGGCCGCAATGTGTGGGAATAGGCCTCTATGTATGAAAGTAGGCTGAAATGTGTGATAGCAGGCCGTTATGTATGGTAGTAGGCCACAAAGTGGGGAAGTAGGCCGCTATGTATAATAGTAGGTCGCTATGTGTGGTAGTAGGCCGCTATGTATGGTTGTAGGTCTCAATGTGTGGTAGTAGGTCGCTATGTATGGTAGTAGGCCGCTATGTATAATAGTAGGCCGCAATGTGTGGTAGTAGGCTGCTTTGTATGGTAGTAGGCCGCTATGTATAATAGTAGGCCGCTATGTGTGGTAGTATGCCGCTATGTATGGTAATAGGCCTCAATGTGTGGTACTAGGCCTTAATGTATGGTAGTAGACCACACTGTGTGGTTGTAGGCCGCAATGTGTGACAGTAGGCCGCAATGTGTGGTAGTAGGGTGCTTTGTTGATAGTAGGCCAAAATGTGTGGTAAAAGGCCACTATGTATGATAGTAATTCGCAAAGTATGGTTGAAGGCCGCTATGTATGGTAATAGGTCGTAATGTGTGGTAGTAGGCCGCTATGTATGATAGAAGGCCGCAATGTGTGGTAGTAGGTCGCTTTGTGCGGTAGTAGGGCGCAATGTATGGTAGTAGGTCGCAATGTGTGGTAGTAGGTCACTTTGTGCGGTAGTAGGGCGCAATGTATGTTAGTAGGTCATTTTGTGCGGTAGTAGGGCGCAATGTATGGTAGTAGGTCGCAATGTGTGGTAGTAGGTCACTTTGTGCGGTAGTAGGGCGCAATGTATGTTAGTAGGTCATTTTGTGCGGTAGTAGGGCGCAATGTATGGTAGTAGGTCGCAATGTGTGGTAGTAGGTCACTTTGTGCGGTAGTAGGGCGCAATGTATGGTAGTAGGTCACTTTGTGCGGTAGTAGGGCGCAATGTATGGTAGTAGGTCACTTTGTGTGGTAGTAGGTCACAATATGTGGTTGAAGTATGTAGTGCGAGGTGGAAGTATGAAGTGGCAGGTGGAAGTGTGTAGTGGCAGATTGAAGAATGTAGTGGCAGATTGAAGTATGTAGTGGCAGATTGAAGTATGTAGTGGCAGATTGAAGTATGTAGTGACAGGTGGAATTATGTAGTGGCAGATTGAAGTATGTAGTGCCAGGTGGAAGTATGTAGTGCCAGGTGGAAGTATGTAGTGGCAGATTGAAGTATGTAGTGCGAGGTGGAAGTATGTATTGGCAGGTGGAAGTGTGTAGTGGCAGATTGAAGTATGTAGTGGCAGATTGAAGTATGAAGTGGCAGATTGAAGTATGTAGTGACAGGTGGAAGTATGTAGTGCCAGGTGGAGGTATATAGTGCCAGGTGGAAGTATGTAGTGGCAGGTGGAAGTATGTAGTGGCAGATTGAAGTATGTAGTGCGAGGTGGAAGTATGTAGTGGCAGGTGGAAGTATGTAGTGGCAGATTGAAGTATGTAGTGGCAGATTGAAGTATGTAGTGGCAGATTGAAGTATGTAGTGGCAGATGGAAGTATGTAGTGGCAGATTGAAGTATGTAGTGGCAGATTGAAGTATGTAGTGGCAGAATGAAGTATGTAGTGGCAGGTGGAAGTATGTAGTGGCAGATTGAAGTATGTAGTGGCAGATTGAAGTATGTAGTGGCAGATTGAAGTATGTAGTGACAGGTGGAAGTATGTAGTGTTACGTTGAAGTTTGTAGTGACAGGTTAAAATCTCTAGTGGCAGATTGAAGTATGTTGTGGCAGGCTGAAATATGTAGTGGCAGGCTGAAGTATGTAATGGCAGGGGTTGTTTGTTTGTTTGTTTAATTGGGTTTTACGTCACACCGACACATTATAGGTCATATGGCGACGTTCCAGCTTTTGACTGGTGGGGGAAGACCCTTCCGTGCATTATTTCAGGCACGAACGTGCACCTGAGTAGAACCAACGACGTTCCGTAAGCTAGCTAGATAGCTTCCTTACATGAAAGAATCCAAAGTCCCTGTCGGGATTCGAACCCACAGCGGTGAGGGGCAAGTGGATTGAAGTCAACGACCTTAACCACTCGGCCACGGACGCCCCAAGTGGCAGGTTGAAGTCTGCAGTATGAAGTAGCTATTAACAGAATACGGAATATATATCACACCTCAATGATACCCGATTCTATATTGGTGATTTATTCATATCATTATTTCTGAGTAAAAATATATATTTACAATTTTGATATTCTGTCTTCAACGGTTTTGAACTTGAAACGGTTTTAAAACGATATATCTAAACAACGATTAAATCATTTGTTTAAAATATATAACTATTTAGAATAAAGAGTGATAGATAACTGCAATAAACAATTACTCTGAATCTAAATTGCATTTAACCAAAATAATTACTCGTTTATTAAGGCAGATAACAATTTGTTTCTCTAATTAAATTACTGTCATCAATCATTAAATACCTCATACGTTTTAATGGTTATATTTGTATGATAATTGTGTTCCATCACAGGCGTATACGTTATTGTATAAGTTTAAAAATGTAAACATGTTTATAGTTATATTGACGTTTCATTTCTTTGCCGTTCAAAAGGTTCATTGCTGATTTTTCAATAAACTTGAAACTTGTTAAAAGTAATTTTCCATTCTATTATTTCCTGTTTAATGACAAATGATGACTATATAAATATTTGCATGACATAATATAATTGATAAATATGCACCTTGTAAAAAACTTAAAAAGGTATGAACATGTTTTAAAATCATAAATGTTTTTGTATACATCTATAAGAATGTTTGTACGTGGATTAAGGATACGGGCTCAACACAGTGCTTCATACATATGACTAAGTATTTTTCCTTTAGTCATTATTCTTTTACGCATATTGCACTTATAAGACTTAATCATAACCATTGATGCACTTATAAGATCTAAACACCAATACATGGTGAACTCATAAGATCTAAACATCAACACATGGTGCATTTATAAGATCTAAACACCAACACATGGTGCACTTATAAGATCTAAACATCAACACATGATGCACTTATAAGATCTAAACACCAACACATGGTGCACTTATAAGATCTAAACACCAACACATGGTGCACT